TATTATCACATGAATAAATTTATTTAAATAATTAATAAATTAAATATTAATATTTATTTTTTAATATAAATTTATTATTAAAAAAACTACATTTATTATACTATTAACTTATACTTTAAAGATTTATGTTAAAAAAACCTTTAAAATTTTTTTTTTTATGCAGATGGGCTCTACAACACATTTATGATTTGTTATTCCATATATATTTTTTGAACTGAACAAATTAAAAGATTTGTTATTTCATATATGTTCAGGTGGTTTGGATGGCCATTAAATAGGTTTAGGTGACAGAAAAGGACTATAGAGAGTAAGTAGTGGCCGGTGAGTGTCCTCCATGTTTGGTAATTTTGGTCCTCTCTCCCTTGATACCAAAGGTTAATTTGTAGGCCACCCCAACCTCTGCCCTGGAACCGAACACCAGACCCCAGCAGGGGTACATTTGTTTCAAGTTTCAACCTTTTCAGAGAACCCATTTGTTAAAGGTTCATGAGAAACTGAACTCAAACCCAGGGACATTGATGATATGCAAAAATGGGGTGTAAGCACTGAGAAATTTTCACTGTAATTTCCGGAATAATATCTCTAACACATTCATCTATGCACAATTTTTTTTTTTCTGTACCCCACCTCAAGATAGAAATAACTTTCTAAAAAAAATCACAAACTCTTCCAAATGCCATGAAATTTCAAGAAACTATATGTCAAGGACTAAAATGGGCTAATGATGATGTCTTGTATTTGTGCTACGAAGAGTAACGCCATGTAAGAATTTTGTATATCCTAGTAAACTTAGCTTTCCATCAGAATTTCTGACCCAATCCTTGAGCAATGAATAAGCCGAAGGGCCAACATTCAGCTCCTGTAATAAAACAAAAAATGAATTACCACAAACACATCAGTGTAGGCTGGGATTAAGATGGTAATGAAAATGCAAAGAAGATTGAACATACTCGTGCCAACTCTTCTATTGAAATCACTCGATTGCCTTCCTGTTCAAAATGCTCAAAAGCAGTGGAGGCAATCTGCTCCCACCCTTCAAGAGCCTCCAATTGATGCGTGCTGATTGCAGCTGCACAAAACTCTTCGAAGGTCATCTTCCTATAAGCCAGGGATTCCATCTGTAGAAAGATTAATGCAGCAGAGTAAGAACCCATATATATATTATATATATATATATATATATATATCAAAATTTTAGACGAATACTGTCTTCTCCTATTGTGAGAAGTGTCAAACAGAGGAATATCTGCATTAAATGACTTACTGAATTGAGAACATCAGGAACCCTTGATTCCATCATAGCATCAGTTGCATTTCTCTCAAGAGCCTGCAATTGTGATCCGTATTACTAAATATTCCCCTCAGCACACATGCAAAGGAAAAAGAAAACAGAACACAGAACTAACAAAAATATCACATTTATCACCAAATCAAAATGACATTGTCATGGCACTAGGAGATGCAATTTGAAGCTCAAATCGATAGGGGAAGCAGTAGGTAACCTTTCTAAAATTATCAAACGACATACTTCCATCTCTATTTGGTTCCAACAGTCCAAACTGAGCCCTTAAATAAACCAACTCATCTTCAGTCAAAGCTTTAGAGAGAGCCTGCAGTTATAGTAGTCAACCAAAGCATAAGTTGGAATGTAATAGAGAAGAATATTTTTATACATGCATGAGTATGCATCTGTGTGCGCGCATGCTAACATGAGCAGCTTACATATGAGCAAACAAATTATAAAGACAAGGTCAAGAATCCAGATTTCAGTCATATATGCTATATGCTAAAGAGGAGTACAATACCTTTAAGGCTGCCCTTTTGAATGGTGTAGCATTAAGGTATGACTTAACTAACTTGTATATCAATATATCTAAAGGAATTGGACGGCTGTCATCCTGCAACCATGGGTGAGCTGCAAGCATAGAAATAAGTATTAATGCTAAGAGTGAGTTAGGTCCTATAGATTAACATATAATACACACATTTTCAGAAAAAACATGTATTATTAAGAAAAATAACAATTTTAGGAGATAATTTCAAATTAACAATACATTATTGCCTTTTGAGGTAAAATTTGAAAAGATATAAGTGAACTAGAGAAATTATTTTTAGCACCCTAGAGAAGAATTTGCTTCAAAAGAATCTTTCATCCAAACAAACTGTAGTAATTTACACAAGTGACGGCCAAATTTGGTAAACACAATCATGAGAGATTACGGTCTGTACCACTATGAAACAATCCTTGGACATTTCAACAGTTAACAAAGGAAGTTCTTACTTAGAGCTTGAACGGCAGTCATTCTTTTTCTGTAGTCCTTATTTAGGAGTCTCTTCACAAAGTCTTTAGCCTCTGGAGAGACAGAAGGCCAGGGTAGATCATCAAAATTTGGATCAGATCTTAATACAGCACGAAAAATTCCAGATTCTGTCCGTGCCCAGAAAGGTCGACTTCCACATAACAAGATATAGGTGATAACACCAATGCTCCATATATCTGCTTCCAGACTATAAGATCTATGCAGGACCTCTGGAGCAACATAGTAAGCACTTCCAACAATATCATTGAGTCTTTCATCTGGAAAAATATACATAGAAATAAACTGCTAAGAATGACCGATTAAAATCCAGCCCATTGATATAATAACACGTAAAATTTTCAATCAATATGCATCCACTCCAAAGGTTTTGAAATTACAAATTAGTAGCCCAGATATTGAGCCATAATTCTAATGCCAACCCCACAGATCTAAGACTGATTAATCACATTAGAATACGGGCTGTTTTGCCTAAAGGAGCCCAGCTAAAATAAGATTGGCCTTCAATTGTCAATTGCTACACTTTTGGGTATTGGCTTTCTAAAAAATAGTTATGAGGGATCTGGTAAACAATTCAGAGGTGAACCAATGAAAATTAAGGGGTCACAGTCAATTATTACCTGGTCTAATGAAGTCAGAAAGACCAAAATCAATAAGCTTCATATCAGCATCTTCACCACCAGAAGTAAAAAGGAAATTCTGTAGCCAAGCAAAATACAGTAGTGAGGGTGAAAATTCAACTTGATAACATCATATCCCATCATACTCAGGAAGCAAAGAAATTGGTAAATACACAAATTTAATCAAATTTAAAAGGAAAAAAACCTCTGGCTTTAAATCTCGATGCACTACGCCCTGAAGATGACAAAATGAAACTACACTTAGAATTTGCACTACTATAGCCTTTGCATCTTCTTCTGTGTATCTCCCTCCTCTGGAAAGGAGAAAAGCCATGTTAGTTTCAATATCAAAATAAATAATAGTTAAAACGAAAATAAAAGGGGAAAAACCATGATTAACACTAATCATTGTAATAAAACCAAGACAAGGCAGCAATATTTCCATCTTAGTCTCCAGTTTTGGTATGAAAAATAAAAAAGAGGCATCAAATCACCAAGAAAAACAAAAAGGATATAGACATAACATCAGAAAGAGAATTATTACCTTGCTAAAATTCTGTCTAAGAGCTCCCCACCCTCACATAATCTGATAAGGAGCGAAATTCCACAGCAGGTTAGACCTAACTACTACTAATAAATCCGACAAAATTACATGATTCAAATGTCCCAATATTTTTATAGAGGATAAATAATACCCATATATTAGAACCTTAGCAATTCAATTAGACATCCCAGAATGTGGAAGAAAAAAGAATAATCAAAAACAGAAACAATACATACTCCATGATTATGTAAACGTTATTGGCATCCTCACATGCATCATAAAATTTAACCAGATGCTTATGCCCAGATAACGCTCTCAATATTTTCACCTCCCTTCGAACATCTTCAATTGCTATGGCTGTGGTCATCTGGAAATTTGATTTTGTTAGAATACAACTGAACAGGTTTTGTACCATTCAAGGAGAACATTAGCAATAATCAATTACGTCCTTAAAAAAGATCACATAATAACTCACTACATTATGAGCATAAACAAGATAGGTTACAACAATATAAAAAAGAAACAACTTTAATACTCAGCAAGCTACCACAAGGTCTCATAAGAGACTACAAGTGAAGATCTTTTTCCTTAATGATAATAACCATATGGAAATCCTTTCACGTCAACCACAAAAAAAGATGAATATTACTATTATATCCTTGCAGATTAAGATCATTCCAACTATGCAGAGAATTTGAGCACCCAGATTCCAGAAAAATATCTGATTGACCTTTCTTTACTTCTGCATGTTAAATGTGTAGACGTACCACATGAGATCAAACCTCATCCTTTGCCAATCTTACAGTAAAGGATATGCCTGTGGTAACCATTGAGGTAAACAGCTAATGGGCATTTAATGCACTCAAATGCCCCGATGAATCATGTATGCAAATGCCTGATGTCCTGAACAGTCTGGCGACTTCTCTCCAAGTATGAAGTACCCAAAGGTCCCAAGCCATATTTATTCAAATCATAATTGTTTTTTACCATCTAGATCAAATAGCCAGTTTGTAACGTGTATCTCGCAGGCATATTGCAATTTAGAAATGCTCACGTCACATTTCCTACTTCTTCAAAGGTTTCTAGTGATGTGCATATCGCACATATATTGCAATGCATAACTGCTCACGTCACTTTTACTAGTTATTCAAAGGTTTCTAGCCACATGTATATCACAGGCATATTGCAACACATAACTGCTCACGTCACATTTCCTAGTTATTAAAAGGTTTCTAGTTAAAGACCTCATATTAATATTCCACCAGATACCAAAAATTTATCATAAAACATTCCAGCATCCCCCATATTCTTCTAGAACGTGCATTGGCGTTTCCTCACCAACACCAGATACTAGAAGGAAATACATATCTAGGCATCATCAGTTTTACATGTAAAGCTATTATCAATTCCATTCTTGTCAGATCCTGTATATCCTCAAATAATGAGACTCATGACAATATCCTCCATGTATGGAGTCAAAATTGTAAAGTTTCAAGCCACGATGTGGCTATAATTTGAATCCATGCATCAACTTTGGATACAAAAAATCTCAAGCCATTACATCATATCATTATTAGATATCCTGCATGATCGTCAAAAAATGACAAGCACGCATGTGTCCCCTTTTCGAGCACCTGGAATCACCACCATCGATTGCAGCATAAGAAAAGCATTTATTGATATGCTTCATACAAGTCAACAAAAAAAGCTGAAAGTTAATAAGAGGATATGGGGCTTTCTATGTGTCCAACAAATGACAGATTATGAATCTGATATAATCCAATAAACAGGAATCCCATTCCCTACATAGTTTGCCAGATACCATAAGCAATGCCTGTTCTAGAAATATGCAGTGTTAAATTTGCTTAATAGTGTCCTACTGTATAATCCGATCACCTACAACATCTTCTTCAACTAATAAAGCTAAAGCTGTTATGCAAAATCTACTTGCAGTGGAACAAAGAAGATCCTTTTATCTTTGAAATACATAAAAGTAACCCAGAATAAGAACGAGAAGCACAATTTAAGAATGCCATTAAGAATTCACACGAAGAGATCAATCCAAAATTAAAGATACTAATATATAAGCCATTCATAATAGAATTAAAGCAAACAAAAGAAAAGCAAAGCTTTACCAATGGAGTCCATACCATTTAAACTGCCAATTCACAACAAGTAAGCCAAATTGGAGCAATCAAAATTTGGAAACGAACACCATTTTACCTTAGCTTTGGAGATGATCTTCACAGCAACAGGATGATCCTTGAGCTCACCCTTTTTGCCTCTGGCAGAGCAAGTATGACCAAAATGCCCTCGCCCAATCTCCTTCCCCAGCTCGTACTTGGCGCCGAAATTCTTGTTGTATCCAAAGCTCTTGTCTAATGCTTGTTCCGGCTCCGCCCCGCTCTCCTCCGGGATAGGCCCTTCCTTAGGCTTAGCTCCAAACCGCTTTGCTAACGACGCCCTTATGTGCTTCGCCGGAGACGGCGGCGGGAATGGCCGTCTGAAAAACCTCCTCGGAGTAGACCCTCTGGCCGGAGAAGGCGACACTCCCGCCGGCAACGGACTCGCCGCCACACCATGGGGATACGGACTAGGCCAAGGACTCGAATTAGAAGACCTAGCCGGCGTATTCTTCACCGACGGCAATCCGACAGCTCCATTCCCCGGAGTTCTGGGCGGTAGCTGCACCTGCTGCTGCTGCACCTGCTCCTCCTCCTGATCGGCAGAAACCACCAAATTTATCGTATTACTCTCCATTCCATCATTCACAGTCCTCAGATTACCCTTTCCGTAACACTGCCCCATCGTAACCCCCTGCACCGAACCCGCACCCAATCACTACAAGTCAAAGTCCACACATCCGACGGCCCACAACCTCCCCAACAGATCTGATACCACCAGCGAAACAGCCAAAACAGTCCACCACGACTAGATCTACGGCGAGAAAACGATAAAAGAAGAGAATGAAAGAAAGAAAGAATATCAGTCAGAGGAGTGAGTGAAACAGAGACAAAGAAAGAAAAGAGAGAGAGCTGGGCAATTATAGAGGAGTAAACAGCACACAGAAGAGGAAAAAGTCCGGATTAGTTCGTAGACGTTAGATTTGCGGAATCATGTAATCAAGAAAAGATTAGATGGGGGTTTTGATTTTGGAATCTGTTCATGATCTGTGAGATCGAAGAACTGGAAAAAAAAAAAAAAAAAAAAAAATTTATGTCCGCCGCACTGTTTATTGCTCTCCTCCTCCGTACTTTTCCCATTTTCTTCTAATTTTTTCATCTTTTTCATGTTTTTTTTTTTGTCTTTTGCTTCTTTTTTCGGTAATTTTTATAAATTTTTTAATTAAAAAGGGTGTGAGAGAAAAGTGTTTAGGAATGATTCCCTGCTCGTTGACTTTCTTGCGCTCGGTTTTATCTAACATGTAAAAGGGTGTTTTCGGTATTTGACTCCGAGGTAATTGGAGGTTTGGAAATTACGGTAACGTCCATGGATTGGTGACGTGGTGTGATATAAGTGGGTGGTGAGAGTGGGCATGCGTGTACTAGGGAACATGGAGAGCGTTTGAGAGCTGACGACGCAGCAAAACCTGGTTCGAAGGTTCGAAATTGTCGAGATTTCGGATTTTAGTCAGACTAAAACATATTAATCTGACGTGACTCAAATCTTATGGTCGCAATGTACACACAATTTTCGAAAGAATGATATGTACATGTATCATATGGAATTGCAAAAATATTATTGGGACTATTACTATTAGGTTGAGAAAATATATTATATTAAATTATAATTTAGTATAATTTAGATTATAAGATAATAAATTTTATTATGTTTGAGTTAAAGGGAATAAAAAATTAAAATATTTTTTAATTAATTAAAATATACTATTTAAAAATATTATATAATTTAATTAATTAAAAAAATCTTCTTCTTTTTTTCTCTTTTTTATATTCTCGTCAATTCAAATATATTACAAAACTTTATCATGTATGTTTGTTATCATAGAATTTCACAATAGCTAAGAGTCATATATGGTCATGCATAATAATTTTCATGTTTTATAAGGTAAAAAAAAAAAGAATTTATTAAAATTAAAATCACTTTCGCACATATGATTATTTTGTTTTTTTTTTTATAAAATAAAATTGTGATGAATTATTTTAGATTATGAATGAGTAATATTTTTTTTTTTAATTTTGATTGCACAAAAAAAAATCATTTTTCATTTCTTATCTCATTCTATCAGCATATTATGCAATTTAAACTCAAAATTTTTTATTTTCAATAAAAGATATTATCACTAAATTATTTCAGTTATTGACAATTTACAATACATTGTGTGCTTTCTTTAAGCGTTTAATTTTTGTATAAATGGTAATGGTGCCTCTCTCTCTCTCTCTCTTTATACTGCTCATCATATATTTCATTTTTGGAAAAGAATCTAGTATCATTTAATATTTCAAGAAAAATATTACAGTATTTAAGAATGACGCATCTGATGAAGTAAAAAAGTTGGGTCTCTACAAAATAAAAATTTTATGGGTTGGATTCTTGCCTTGCTTATAAGAGATTTTAAATTTTATTACTTCATATGAAATAAATAAAATAATTATTGGCTATTACTATTAAATAATTATATACACAAATCTATGAGAGAAAAGTGTCATCATCTCATTGATTTTTTCATTAAACAAACTTAATTATTCTAATGTTTACACCTAACCAGCTATTTTTAATCAACCAACTTTGCTTTTGACATTGAATCAAATTGTTAAATGAAAATAATTTTTTAAGTGTTCCTAATGGTGATGGTAATGCTGATGCAACCCATTTGGAAAGCTGGATAGGATTACCATAAAAAATTTTATACCCGCAAAGTAATGGTTGCGTTTGGGATTGCTGTATAACTATGGTTTTTAATATTGTATTATAAAAAAAATTATACTATTATTTGATTATTGTTTTGAAAAAAAATTTACATTAATATGTTCATTAAAATATATAAAATATTAATTAAAATTAATTGAATTATACTAAATTAAGATTTTTATGAGATATTGTATAAAAAAATGTGACAAGAAAATAACTCCAAATTCAACTAAAAGTGATTAAAACCTAAATAATAGTAAAATTTAGGAATGATTTTGTTTGGAAGTTGCTTTTTAATAGTGTTTTGTTGCACTACACATTATTAAAAATGTTAATTTCATGCTAAATTAATTAATTTAATAATAAAAAATATTATATAATTTAAATTATATAACTTTTATAGTGGAATTCGAACCCCACAATTACCAAATTTAACATAAGAAATCTTTTACAAAAGAAAGATGATCACTAGACTATCATAACATTCTTATATTACAAAACTTTTATTATTAAATGGGATGAGTTTTTGATATTAAAAACTTTCATTATATCCAATAACTTTTATTTTACACTATAAGACTCAGTATTATCAGACAAATATATAATATTTATTTAAAATCATTGTTAAACATTAACTTAATTAATTACAACATTATCCAATAATCTCAAATACAGTCTTAAGCTGTATTTTGGAAGTTACTTAAATGTTGACTACACACTTTAGCATCAAGTAGGTATGGACTAGACCTAATCCCGCCCTCAATAAATCTTCGATTACATTAGCTAATCTGACTTAGCCCCAGAAATTAATTGTTTATTTACTGCATTTACACCCTACGGGGCCTACTACTCTTAGATATAATTAAAACTCATGCTTTAAAACACACAGTTACACAGGCAAAACAACAACATATAAAAGAGAAACACAGCGCAGCTAACACTAACTGCTCTACCGTCTGTATTATGTGGAAGTAGCCAATAGTTTCATCGGCCCCTGAAAACCAGCCTGGAATGTTGAAGAATGTTTTCGGTTTTATCTGAATTTCCAAAATTCATGGATTGAGAGAGAAACTCCAGTGCTCAGTTGCTTCATATTCAAACCCACCAAGGGAAAGAAGAAAAAATGACACTTGCTCGGGATATTTTCATGTGTCATATCTCATGATTGGTTGGGGGTCAAGGGAGAACATGTAGTGTGTCCCATGCTGCTGTTCCATATATATTAAGGATTAAAAAATAATTGCACCTGCTGCAATGGTAAGGATTAAAAAATAATTGCACCTGCTGCAATGGTAGAGTGCACAATTGGTATGATCTATATCATGATTTTAGTTCTTGTAATGACATTCCTTATTTTCCCAATTTTTTCCATGTTATTTTTTTTTAAATGTATAAATTCAAAATGAAAAATTCAGACTAGCTAGTAGTTAGTTGGGAGGGTGAGTCATAAGTGAAATTTATTAAGCAATTAGTAACTTGTCTGGATGATGACAGGCAAAATTTCTATGCTGAATCATAGAGTAGGTATAAGGTTATTAACACCGAAATTTTTTATGGCTAGTAATTTAATTGTAATTTTATTGGTTTATAATTGCTTTTAAAAATAATTGGTTGTAATATTTGAAAATATCCATTTACAAATTGATTTTAATATATTAAATAATACCCCTTCAATTCATTTTTAATAGTTTTAAACTTTTTTAGACATAAATTTTAGTTGAAAATTTAACAATTTATGAATAATAATTGATTTTTTTTCCTATATATAGTTTTTGTTGAATATTTTTTATTTGATTCAAAAAAGTTTTCAATTATTATTTATATAATATGTTAAATTGTCATTTAAAATTTATATCTAAAAAGTAAAAAAAAATTAAATTATGACTGCTAAAAATAAATAAAGGAGTAAATATAAACTGTTTTATTAATTATCAATTATTTTTAATAAATTAAGATAAAAATTTAATAACTTTTAATACTTTTAACAAATTTAAAAGTGATTATAAATTTATAATCGTACGCACACATTCGGTCATGTAGTTTCTCTTTTTTCTTTTTATTTTTATTTTTATGTTTTTGAAATTTGGATTTTGCAACAGGGTTAAATTTTGCTTGGGCAGAGGCTTTTTTTTTAAAAAAAAAAACCAAGTAAGCCCATTTCATAAACCCTATCAGCCCAATCAAGGTGTCTGTGGGCCTAGCCTACATGCCACCATCGTAACTTCTTCCAGGCTCCAACTGTAGCCCATTAGAGAAATCAGACCTGCACAACTACAAACCCAATGAAGTGAATCAGAATATTTCTTTTTCGTTTTTTCCCCTTTTAAATGGCCAATGTAGCAAATTAATCAATTTCATTATTAAAAAAAGAAAAAGAAAAAAGGAAAGTCTATAAAAGAAGAAAACTTTAAAATTGACCTTGTGAGCGATTCTAACAAAACCACCAAGACTGGGTGGTTCTCAGGATAATATATCTTAAACCAACAAGATGACTTTAATTAATTAGCTTCTAGCTATAGGGGCTAAAATAATCAATTATATCCCAAATGGTGGTTTGGTTAAGGGCGTTAGATAGAAGATTTTCACCTAATCTCGTTTACCAAATCAATATCTGTGAACCTGTTGCCCGGGGGGCTCTATTGATGTGTGCGTTTTGACTGTACTAATTATTTTTGAAGTAGCTTTAAAGGAACTCAAAGCTAAATGGTACATATATAGAAATATATATATATTGCAGCTATCCAGCTTACCTCATATCCTTTTTCAGAAAACACATGTTTATTTTGCATGAGATGGTGGTGCATGATCTGAAATGCTTCCATAACAAGCATATATATATATATACACACAAGATCTTTTTGTGTTGGAAAATGGAGTTGTTGGGGGGGTTAGGATTGTTAGGACCTAATTCATAGATTAACACATCATGAATCAATCAAACGTACATGATTGCATTTGGCATTTAGTTGTTGCTTGCAACAACCACGTATCTAATGTTCCTTTTGCTATATAACATATACCAATTATTATAAAGATCACCCTGATAAGTACTTGTAACGTGCTGATGTTGTTGTGCTCTATTTTGTCAAAAGCTTGACTTACTACTATATGTATTATATATGACCATCTCTGTTTAATTTTAATACGGCTTAATTTTTAATTTAGAGCATTTAAATTTAGTTATTTGGTCTTTTTTTT